GAGATGGAGTGAGAGCGCGTGGGAGTAAGCGAATGGAGAAGGGAAGAGATGGAGATGAAGAAAGCCGAAAATCCGCAATATTCGCAAAGAGCATTCGCCTAATCGCATTAAAAGGCGGCGGAGGGACGCACTGTGGCTGAAAGGCGGAAAAGACCACAAATTACAAAAGTTATATTTTTCATGAATCTATTATTATATTCTCGTAGCCAATTAACTGTGGTATTCAAGTCTGCAAATGGTTTGTTGCAAGGTTTTTCCCGCGTTTCCATACAGAGGGAGTCTTAAAAAATTAAACTTCCAGTTACTTTCAGTCACCATTTCCGTTGCTTTTTGGTTACCACGTGCACCTGCTATTCGTCGATCAAAGAACGCACTCGACAAGGGTCCATTGTCGATTCCATCACGCACACTCGCGCGTGACCAGCCGGTGGTCGCGCGAAAGTGGCCGCGAGTTTTCATATTTTCACGCTAAATTTATCCCGCCGCTCGACCGCACAATGGCGCGCGTCTAAACGCTCGCTTTTCATCCGCAGATTTCGGCCATTAAGTCCATTGACGGATTACCGTCGTCTCGTCGGCTTCGCGGTCCCCTCTTTCGGAGTTCCTAACCAAGGGTACGTCCTTCCTAGGACGTCCACCGCCTCGGGGACGATTTTTTGAATATTCGCCTTGTAAAACGCTGATGGGAACCGTTTACGGTGGGCATTGTTCGTCGGCTGAGGTATACGACCGTCTTCTGCCATTCTTTAGCCCTCCTCGGATCGCGAAGGCTCACCCCTTGAGTCGCTCGGGACTTTAATCGCTATTTTCGCTTTTCTTCCTTACCCTGGCCATTGTGCTCCGCGCGATAACTCGATCAAAGAGCTGTCACTTTTACGGAATTCCTTCCAGGAGACCGAGAAAGTGCGAAAGTTTCAGTTACTAGGTTCTATCTAACATTGAGGATCTTTCAGGAGCTCGGGAGCTCTTTGCTTTAAAGAGTTTCGTGTAATTTCGATACATAAAAAACGCAACAACGCTGCGTTCGGTCCGACTACCGTGAAAAATTCCACGCGTGATTCGCAGATTGAATCGGAACATAATCCGAATGCGTTTCCATTTTGCGCGCCAAGTATGAAATATCTCTTCGGGGAGGGCAGACCCGCTCTCTATTTCAACGGTAGGCGGAAGCGCAAACAACGGCGCGGATAATAAACCAAATAAAGTTCCTCGCGGCTCGTTCGCTTCGCTCGCTCTAACGCGTGGGTAATCCCGTGACAGCGACGCGGCCAAGAGTGAGAGAGAGAGAGAGAGAGAGTGGAGTTTTCGAACGAGTTCCGAACCAATTTCCACCTGGATACGTTCGCGTGTTCGCCGAGTGCTATCCTTTTTTCACCGCAAACCCCTTCCGACCCGCGGCCGCGTGGAAATATAAATTATTTGGGAATTAAGTTAATTAAACGACCGACAACGGACGCGGGCGAAAATTGTTGCCGAAATAAAAGTCACAAAGCCGAAATCGCGACACAAAGGAAGGCCCATTCGTAGCGTTGGTTTGTTATTATTTGTCCGCGCGGTTTCGATGTTTTTTAAATCGCTTTCTCGCGGGCAAATATTACCCTTCGAGTTAACGGACTATCCTGTTAGCCGTATTCGAATCGTCGAGGTTCGTTAAGGATTCTTTTCTAACTTTTTAACGCGCGGACCATTTATCACGTGAAAAGCGACGCGTACTAGATGCTGTACTGTATATTCTTTTAAAGAAATTTTTTATCGCCTCGCAATTATTACATCTCCAGGAAGCTTTACTCAAAGCGAAGTTCCTTTTTCGATACAGATGAACTTTTTTCACTTCGATACAGCATCTCGAATAAACACAATAAAATTCTTGCGTGTTCCGCCAATAGCTTCCCCGTCCCCTCTGAAATCGGAACACAAAAGACCAACGCGATAATAATGTATTAACGCGTGCTTTACGAGCGGACAATTTCGCTCGGAGGCTTATTTGCCCGCATTTGATCGCAAATCCCTAAACGCTCGAATCCCATCAAACGCGTCTCCGGCGCGATTCTTGTGCAGCGGGGAAACGGGGCGATAAAATCCAGTCCAAAGTATAACTTATTGGCCCCGACGCGGCGTTGCCTGGACATCGCGCGCAGAGCGGGACTAAATATAACCGTACAATGCTCGGCTGGCAAAGAACGTGGATTATCCAGGATTTCGAAAGAACGAGCTTCTCTCTCTCGTTTCTTCGTCTCTGGTCGCGATACGAGCGCGTCAGCGTGGGCGTTGCGGGAGTCATCGGACCGACGCGACCGGAGATTACCAAGCGATATTCTGTAGTTAACGCCAGCCGAGTTATTAATCGTCGGCAAGATACGTTCTTTGGCCGTCGAAACGATCGTTCGACCGCTGAATTGCTCGCTGGTCGAGTTAATAACGACTCGACTCGATCGCAACCGACGCGAGAACGCAGAGGTCTCGACTTTCCCGGGCCGTTCCACTGGAAAAACTACCGCGGGATCCGCCCCGCGCGCGGGACACAAAGGAAAAATTAAACGAACTCGCTCGAAAAGCAATTCATCCGCTGGGAGGTTCTTTTTTTCTTCTCCCCCTCGACCGCTAACAGTAGCGAGCAGAGAGGCGTAGCGCTTTGCGAGCCCGCCGCCGCTGGACCCCGGAAATTAGGATTCATCGCGCCGGCTGAATTAAAGTCGAGAAATTTTTTAATTTCGTAATATGCAGATTAGCCCCTCCGAGTCGTGTAATTAATTCCGGGCGCATATTACGCGCGTCTAAGTTTTTGCTGATACCGCGTTGCGCGAAGCCGCCGTCGGCGTCGGCGTCCAAGCGTCGTTTTTTTCCCCTCCCGTTTACCACCGAACTTTGCCCGCTGATGAAATTTTTGACGCCGTTGTCCCGACGTACAGAGCGTCCCTTCCGTGAGAATATGCGCGCACGGTTTTTTTTTTCCCCATCCTGGTCAGGTATTCTATATAAACGTCGCGTTGGATGATATATCGTCTTCGATGGGTTCGATTTTATCGCGCCCATCAAGGGGACGCGCAATCTGCGCGTTACGCGTTGGGAAACTCAATTTCCAGACGTCCAGCGTGGGCGGTTGTCTTCGTTCAAGAAACGCAAAGAGAATTTTTCTGTTCGGGTTTTTTACTCCATTCACTGCCGACTACGAGATGTCTCGTAGTTCAAATTGATTGCAATTATTCGAGGGGATATTTTCATTTTAAAACAACCGATTTAATATCACTTTTTATTATCAAAATAATATCCTTAGATTACACATCCGTATTAAATTTTAGCACCCAAGGCAAAACGCTTTAAATTTGCCTGGCAGAGAGTGGGTTAATTTAAAGCTAGTCTATTACTGGTTTCTTAACTCTAATGTTCTCCCCTTGAAATTGTTAAGGTGTTAAAGCCCCGAGGGTTTATTTGTTTCCCAAAACAAGTAACTCTGCAGCTGGAATTCATATAAATTGATACCCAGAACTCGAATGAATATAAATTGATATCTACACCCCGAATTTATATGAATTCACCTCCACGCTTTGAATCTATATAAATCGATTTCTGTAACTCGACTTCATATGCCCACTGCAATTTCAAATTTTGTTGGTTTCTAACGCAAGTGATTTACTCCCATTTCCATCCTTCCCTCCACACAGTATTCGCTTGCATTCATTTACATACTCCAACATTTATCCCAATCAACATCCAACGTCTAAATTTTCCTTTGTAGCAAAAGCGTCATCGACTTCGAAAAGCACGGTGCATTAAGCAAAATCACATTTTCGCAAACAAACTTTATAAATATCAAATCCGATTTAAGAATCTCGAAGTGCACTCGAGAGTTCCGCGATCCGGTTAATAAAATTCAAAATAGCCGAGATAACCGTGGCCATTAATCTCTATAATAATCATCTTCCAGAAATTGCAACTACTTCAAACTCGAGAACAACGAAGCTTCGTGCTTGTAATCTCAATGAATTTACAGTTGCGACAGGATTCGTTTCTCTTAGACACCTCCGCGAGTCGAAATTTTGCGAAAGCAGGAAATCTCCCGCAGAAGAATTCAACAAGTACCAGCAATTTTATCGGGAAAGTTACAAACTTCGGCAAACGGATTCAGAATTATCTAGATTTCCTCTGTACAATCGAATGCGCCGAGACGTGGTTCAGACCTTGCGTTAAAACTAATTAACGTCAGGATGGAAGGGCCCGTTAGCGAAGTCATTAATAACTCGAACGAGAAAAACTGAAACTACTTGAAGGAAACGACGTGTAACGCTTCAGTACCCCCAGACACCGTTTTTACACGCAGTTATCATATTTTGATAAAAAAGGGATGCTTGGACTTGCATTAATCAGTGCGCGTTAAAAACACCGTGCACGTGTTTGATTAAAGAGCCTAGGCTTTAAAAAGTAAACTGGAGTTTTCCAAAGATTTGTTGATGTTTGAGATCGAAATTATACCTATTGTAACGCGTCACAGGACGATGTCCACCCGCTGGCTCATAAAAGTGATCCATATAGAAGTTTCCTGATAGATTTATGTCCCCGTGCAAATCCTGCCAATATAATTAATTCGACGCGCGACGGTTCGAAGCGTCGACCGTGTTTCGTAGATAGAGAACTCCGCACAATTTTCTCTTTACTCACGCTTCCCTCCGTTCCCATCGAACGAGCGCCCAGACATACCTCTTTTTTCGGTCACGATGCTCTCGTCCAGACTAAAATAATATTTCACGGTTCTATCTGGCCCCGTCGCGCCCCCTGGCATATCGATCAGTCCTCCGCGTCGGGACGCTCGTTCGCGCGTCGCGACATTTTAAATTCAGGTGCATTCGAAACGCGGTCCAGATACTTGCCTCTACAACCGTTCAATTACTGACTCTCACGTGCCAAACTAAAGGCATCCACTAATTATACCTAATTTTATTCAACACTTGAACAAAGTTACAACCTTTCGAAAAACATTCTAACGAATCTTCATTTTGTTCCAGTGTCAAAAATCGTGCAAGTCTTGAAAATACAACGAACGGCTGCCGCAAGGACATATCTCTCGCTCCCAAATCTCCCAGACGGTCCCAGAGATCCTAAAGCTGGACGTCGAGATTTCCATATCCCCCACGGAAGGTCGTCTCTTGGTGGAAGCTCCAAGTGTCCCGTCAGCGTTCGCCACGGTGAGACGCATTAGTTTCGAGGACGTCGACTCGAGCTGTTCCCACGTAGGTACGTATGGAGTGCGTAGATAATGCGGAGGAAGGCTTTGCTCGGGGTTGGAAGGGCTCTGCCGCGACAGTGAAGGGGTTGGGCAACCTCGTGGCCCTCGCACTCGAACAAGAAGGGGTCGGTGGCAACACCTTGCGCCGATGCCTCGATACGCCGTAAATTATTGTATTCGAATCGTACGTCGTAGGACCACTTCCCATTCCCCGGAACAAGGGTCGGAGGTGGTGCACGCGCGTCTGCCACGCACCCCCGCGATTCTATCTGCGTGGTTCGCGAGCAGGCTGCGGCATCGGGAAAACTACTCCCGTTTTGTTTTTACTGGACGATTTATTGCAGGCGCGGTGCTCGCTGGAACTGATCGCGGTTACGTGCCGGCGTGGCGACATTAGGGGAGCTCAAAGTGGCTACCGCAACTTCGAACGAGGAAACGAGATCGCGAAAAAATGGAGAGTGTAATTTATTTGTTGAATTTCAGCGGTCGAAACCCAGCCGGGTGATCGGCAGATTCTTCTTCGTCAATAATGTTACAATTTTTTATGTAACTGTTAGAGTGAATCGATTTGTGCAGTAGATGATGATGATTCCATACGAATTTTATGTTGCGAGAACTTGGAGTTCCCATATTTCAACCCCTACCAAAGTTCACGTATCAAAGTTAAAGCAAACCCCCCAATACAGGGCTCGAAAAAGTTCCTCTCCATCCCTGCTTCTTTTGCTACGGATTCGGCGCGTCTTTATACTTGTACGGCTACACGACTTCGGTATTACGAAAGACGAGAGCCTCCCCCGCGGCCTCCTCCGCCCTCTGCCTATTCAACGCGGCTAATATTTTGATCCGAGATACGTGCTCGGTAATTCCTTCCGCTGAAAGAGCGGGTACTTCTGCGAGACTCAGGCGAGCCCGACCAGTTGCGGTAGGGGACTTGATTTTATTTAAATTTTAAATCCGAGATCCTGTGCGGGTCGAATAGACACGAGTAAGGGGAAGGTCGATCATCAAGAGGGAAAAGTGGCGAGGGCACGAGCATGTAAATGCAGCTTGGTCGTACTGTGGAGTTTCTGTTCACGCTGATAGAGGGCAACATTTCCCATAAGTTCTTCATATGTGTACTATTTCTACGTTTAGACACACCGCTATTTGTTCCGTTTAGTCTCGAGCTACCAACCTCGATGAATCCAAGAAGGAAGAGAGGGCTAGATTTCCTCGTGGGAAATAGATAATTTCTTCACTGATTCCTCGAACCTGAGAAGGTGATACACAAGTCGTAGAACAGTCCCAGGTACTCCTAATCACCTCCTATGCACAATTCAGTCTATCCCGTTGACTATCTCCCACCTCCCCCCTTTTCAAATTGCTAACGAAATCTTCCTCCATATTTCGAGGCCGGTAGCCTGCGTTGGCTTCCGCTGTGAACTTTCAACCGGTTCAGCGAATTTTAAGGACGATCGATCAACGTCCCAGGTGGAAAAGTGCTCGCGTGCCAGAACAGTCTCTTCGTGACGGAGTTAATAGCGTCTGGCGAGTTGGCGAGCGCGCCACCTAGGCAACCGGACGAGAAAATTGCCGAAAAACAAGCAACCCTTCGTCACCCTCCAATCCCCGCTATTCGTCTATCCACCGTTCAGCGGGGAAAACGCGAAAACATTCGTTAAAGCGTTCGACGAGTATTTACCGAGTTCGATGCCCGTTTACGACGAGGCGCGAGCGTCTTTGAGCCGTCTCTTGGCCGCCCCGAATTTTCCGCTTGCCAGCTTTTTATCGGACCTCGCCTTCTAACGAACTTCCTCGACAACTTCCTGAAGGATTCGCCACCGAATTCGAGAGTTTGCTGAAATATATAGACCGCGTAAACAGGATTACTGCCAAGCAAATACGCCGGCTCGAGATGACTCGATCCAGCTCGGGAATAGGGGGTTATTTTAATGATTTTTGAAATTTATGTTACGCGCCCCCTAAATACCTTGCCCTCAAAATTGAAAACTAAAATTGTTCAGGAATATTTTCTTAAGTATTCGCAAATTATTTAAGGGGTGTGTAATATAGATTTCAGAAATCATTGAATATAAGAACCATCCTAAGCTACATCATCAATTCATAGACATTACTCCAAGTCCAGTCAGCCACGTGTTACCAAGGGAAAACGTCTCTTAAATTAACCAGAGCGCAATGGAGAGTATCTCAACAGAATTACGGTCGAAACTCGCCTGGATTACAATACATCCGGGGGTTACAGGTAGACCAAGTAAAGGGAGTCGTTCGAGTCGGTCTTCGAAGGCCCAGAAGGCAGAAAAGTCACGCGACGGTCGGTCGCGCGGCAAAAAAGGGGAGTAATAAACTGCAGGACGTCTCGGCGGGTTCCTTTCATCCGGAGATCTCATATCCCTTTGCCGAAAAGTTGCTCGCTAGGCGCTCGAACCCGTGGGAAGAGGCGGGAACGGGAAGAAAATTAGGCAGCGTCGTCGTTTGGTTGGAGGGCTGCTTCCTCCCCCTACGACGAAGGCTTTCCTCAAAGAGTAGGATTGCCGCAACGAGGGAGACACGTCTGAGATAATCCTCCAGCGGAGGACTGTCGCATAACTTCCCCGCAGGAAGTCACTCTGTTTACCATTCTAAAGACGTCTTTAATATATAACGGGCAATTTTCCTCGCTCTATGCCCGTAAACTTCTTTGAGAAATTGGATGTTCCCGAAGAAGGGTGGCAGTCGACTCTCCCCGCCCTTCCAACCGATGCCACGGGGGTGGCCGAAAAACGGAGGAGACGTTCCTAAAGAGATCACGACCGGAGCAGCGACTGGTTGACGGTTGGCTGAAAAACAAGAGCTCCGATTCAACGACCCGCCGCCGCCTCCTCAGACTTAATAATCTCCGCATAATCCACAGAGAGTCCCCCGACGTGCCGGCGATTTCATATATTGTGGAAGGAACCGCGTGCTGGCATCTACTTACCTGGGAGTCGTTTTAATATCTGACCTCGTCCCAGCTAAGGCTCCAAGTTTTCGACCTCGTTGGGCTCCTGTTTACTTCCTCAGCTCTCGTTCTTCCCTCTTTACTTCCTCTCCTTTCGCTCCACGCTTGTACGCTTCCCCGTCGACGACCCCACGCAGCGGGAAAACGAATAGCGCGTCGTTAGCCTCCGTCTTGGCATCACCGCTTACCAAGAGAATCAGCTTCGAGGTTGTTTTTACCATCGCGATCTTGGATCGCGCTTCTTCGCGCGGTCATAATCCGTTTTGTCTCCCTTTTTCGAGTGAATACGGTGGGATGGTGAACGCCCCTCGAAAACCTTCAAAGGACGGAACCGTCGAGTTGTTTAAAGAAGTACACGCAGTTGTCACAGACTCGAAATTCAAGAATTTTTTTTGAGACACAATTGTTTATTACACAAACTCGCTATTTTGTCAAGGAGAAACTATTATTCCGCAAGTCCACGACCATTTTTGAATACGTATTTTAATATTGGCAACGAGATTCTTCCGGCTACGATACCTGTCGGCAACCTCGAAGAGAAGTGGCGTGGATATCGGAAACGACGAAGCGTCACCGTCTCGATATAGACCAGCTGTTTCCCGTCGTAGTCGTTATCGTTATCTCGAGATGTTGTCGCGGGGAACGTTGAGCTCGCAGGCATTGTTTCGCGAAGGAGGACATATCGAATCGTTGGCGGCCGATCGTTGACCGACTTGCTCGCGGCTTTCGCAGGTGCCAGTCCCCTCTGGAATTCGTTCCATTTCTAGTTCTGCGCTGGAAACGACGCGGATTCTGTCCCGAATGGCCCATTCCAGGCGACCAACGATCCTTTGTAGGGAGATGGATGCGCGAACGCAGACGCCTCGAAACGCTCGCAAGAATGCGCGGAGTTCGCGGGCGAGGGGTTGGAAAAATCATGCTCGTTCGGTGCGTCTGTGCCCCGGCGATGAGAATTTAACGACGCTATTTTATTAAGGCACCTCAACGTGAACACGCTCGAGAAGGGTGTATCGTCACCGGTGGAGCACTCCCCTCGCATAGTTTGCATACTTTCGCCACTTCTGTCGATCCACCGCGCGCCAGGATACCCGAGACTCCAGACGCAGCCTCATTAAGGACTCTTCGGAACGCGCGTGAAACAAACGAGATCATCCTAACCGGGAGCGTCGATATCTTCTCTAACAAATTGCTGGACGAATTCTTGGATAAACTGCGAGAGCACCGAGCACAAAGGGCAAATCGCGACGAGGACTCCTTTCGAGTCGAATCGATCGGTGTTGGCCGGTTTGCTGAGAGGTGAGCATAAATGGTTCTTTTTATCGGGGAACGTACGTAGCTCTCATGCCCTCAAAGCTTAGAATTCAATGTCTTCGTTATCGCCGAGTTTCGCTTTAATGTATTCCAGTTTAATCAGCCCCGATGCGGGACCACAACGAAGCCTAGCTCGAGGCGGCGCAGCCACCGAAAGATCGACTGCTTATAGAGAATGCATTACACCGGTAGATCGATCGATCCGCGACGTTATCGGCGCGATCTTATCTCGGAACGCGATTACGTCGAACTATAAGCCGTACCGTTGTCTTAACAGCCTCGCGGATCCATAATTGACACGAAACGCGATTAACGAACGATCAGAGTTTTCCCAGACGCGATGCGGGTCTGCAACGCTTTGGATTATGGTAACGCGGATTGCTACAGATTCGGGATTCGATTGAGTCAAAGGGGTGCCCAAACATGGAGGCAGAGGGTGGTCGTGGTTCTTTATTAATCGATGTAGTGTTTTTAGGGGAGATTCGAAGCAAAGTGGCGACAAATGGTTAAGGCATTTTGCAGTTTCTTACACATTCAAATTTCCTGTAAATGCATAAAAATCCGCAGTCAACTTGGGATTTGTCATTCGTAATTTCTCATGAAAAGCATGTCCACGCGTTTGAATTCTATTATAGAGATACTATTGGACCTGGCGTGGACCTTGAATCGACAGAGCATCGGGGTCAGTTTCCCGACTCGTGTCGATGGTTCGACATAATT